GGGGGACGGGGGGGGACCCTTACCTGCACACTTCAACAGGGTCTCCTTCAGCTCCCGTTTCTCCCTCCGGAGCTGAGCCAGGTGCCCCCGGATTTCTTCCTTCTTCTTCTCAAGCCTCTCCTTCTCTTCTGTGTAACGCTTCACCTCGGCTTCTGTCCTGTTCTTGCCAAGTTTGATCTCTGCAGACCCAGAGAGGGGAACCCCCGGGTCAGCCAGGCCGGCCCCTGAGGGCTGCCCCACCCCCATCCTACAGGCTCAGACGGAACCCAGGGTTTTGGCAGTAGATAAGAGCTGGATGCCGGGCCAGCCTAGCACGGACAGAAAAGGAAATGGGGCCCACCCTTTCTTTGCTGTGTGATGTTGGGCAAGTCCTTCTGTTTCCTCATCTGAAAGGGAGGGCACTGGGCTAACTTCTCCAAGCCCTTTCCAAAACCTTCAACTCTTAATCTAGCACGGGCACCTGCATTGGTTGCCTTCAACCTGTCTTTCACAGGTGGGCTGGCCCCGGCTGGGGCGATGGGCACAGTGTCAGGGCAGCTCGGTGGGAAGGAGATCTTCTGCTGTTCAGTCTGGATTTTGACTGCTGTGATTCCCAGGGAAGGCTCCTCAGGTTCCTGACTCTCCTGCTGCATCTGCTTTGGGAGAAAGCAAACAGGACCCAGGTGGCCGAGACACCCCAGAAGGTGAGGCCAGCTCACCTGCTGGGGGACCCCCTGTACCTGCAACTCGGGGTTCTCTGGAGACACCACGAGGGGCTCATCGGCGGTGGGGTTCAGGTCTGCAGGGAGGGCCTCGGCCGGAGGGTCTGGCTGGGGCAGCGTGGGCGAGGGGACCCGGGCCTGTGCACCGCCAGTGCCGTGCAGGAAGGACTTGACGGGCGTGAGGTCCAGGTATACGCGGTCGGGGTCAGGCTCAGTCGGAGCGTCTGTCGCAGGAGCAGCTTCCTCAGGGACCTCCCCCTGCATAGGGAAGAGACGGGGGGCTTTCTCCACTGCCTCGGCTCCCTGGGCTCTGGAGGGGGCCCTGCCGCAGGTCTCCTGTCCCCTTCCTTGTGCCGGAGTTCGCAGGGCCTCCTTCCCAGGGAGCCTCCTGCTGAGCTGGAGTTAGAAGGCCTGGGTCTGCCATTCAAGAGCTGGGGGACCCAGGAGACAGGAGACATCTTCCCGACCTCACTTCCTCATCTGGAGAGAAGAGACTAGTAGTACCTCCCTATCAGGTGGCTGGGATTAAATGAGATAACCCACAGAAGCCCTTAGCACAGAGGCCCATGCCCAGTGAAGGAAACCTCCTGTCAGGGGGATTATTCCACCTCAGCTGTGAGCCTCAAAGGCTAATGGTGTCTGGACAGCTACACGTAAAAGAATGAGATAGAACACTTCCTCATACCATATACAAAAATAATCTCAAAATGGATTAAAGACCTCAGTGTGAGGCCTGAAACCATAAAACTAGAAGAGAACACAGGCAGAACACTCCTTGACATAAATCATAGCAATATTTTTTTGGATCTGTCTCCTAAGGCAAAAGAAATAAAAGGAAAAATAAACAAATGAGATCTAATTAAACGTAAAAGCTCTTGCACAGCAAAAGAAACCACTGATGAAATGAAAAGACAGCCTATGGAATGGGAGAAAATATTTGCATATGATATGACTGACAAGGGGTTAATATCCAAAATATATAAATAGCTCATACAACTCAATATAAAAAAAAAATCAACAAACAGGCAGAAGTCCTGAACAGACATTTTTCCGAAGAAGACATACAGATGGCTCATAGGCGTGTGAAAAGATGCTCAGTATCACTAATTATTAGAGAAATGCGAATCAAAACCACCCCAGGATACCACCTCACACCTGTCAGAATGGCTATCTTCAAAAGCCTATAAATAACAAATGTTGGCGAGGATGTGGAGAAAAGGGAAGCCCTGTGTGTGCACTGTTGGTGGGAATGTAAACTGGTGCGGCCACTGTGGAAAACAGTACGGAGGTTCCTCAAAACAGTAAAATAGAACTACCATCTGATCCAGCAATTCCACTCCTTGGTATATATCCAGAAAAAGCAAAAGCACTTATTTGGAAAGCTATATACACCTCAGTGTTCATAGTAGCACTATTTACAGTAGCCAAGATATGGAAGCAACCCTAGTGTCCAACAGATGGATGGATAAAGAAGATGTATATATGTATTATATGTGTGTGTACACACAGACACAGGGAATATTACTCAACCATAAAAAAGGATGGAATTCTGCCATTTGCCGCAATGTGGATGAACCTAGAGAATATTACGCTTAGTGAGATAAGTCAGAGAAAGACAAATACTGTATGATACCACTTGTATGTGGAATCTAAAAAATAATACAAACAAATGAATATAGCAAAACAAACAGATTCACAGATACGGAGAACAGACTAGTGGTTACCAGTGGGGAGAGAGTAGGTGGGAAGGGCAAGATAGGGGGAGGGGATTAAGAGATACAAACTGCTATGCATGAAAGAGATACAGACTGCTATGTTGATAAGCAACAAGGATAGATTGTACAGCACAGGGAATTACAGCCATTATTTTGTAATAACTTTTTTTTTTTTTTTTTTTTTTT